TGATACGGTTCCAAGTGTCATCAAGGATTTGTTGATATGCGTCCCTTCTTTGAGACGAACACCACCAGCCCCAGTTTTGGCGATGCGCTCCGAGCCTGCAAGATCTACCATATTCTTCGGAAAACAAACTGTCAGGTTACCAGAAACGAAATTTAAGCAACTTACGAGAGTTGACACGCGAACTGCGTCCAATGCATCGTCTTGACCATCGTTTTTCTTGTCCCTGCTTTCAATTACCTGTTACAAACAAAGACTGAATCAACTTTGACTTTGACAGAGGAAAAACATATTAACCATGCGGAATATGGTATGAGATCGACTACTGTAAACATTCATGTTGGTTTTCCCGAAGTGACGGTAAGCTGAAAGTTAACAAACAATAATTTCTAGGCATTTCAATCTGACGCTTACCTTCTCCAAATTTGAGGAACTCAAAGACCTGATCTGGACTGCTCACAATCTCTTCGCGTAATCCTGCCACAAAAATCCCCCTCTGAAGCTCTTTTCAGTAAAGTCCAAAACACAAACAGGATCAATCAAAATACATACGACGGAGTTTTCATGTATCCGAAGCTTCCGATTTTCAGGAGCAAGCAAGTCGTTGATTTCTTCCTTGTATATTTCCATGTATGAAACCCGAATCAAGAACTCCCTGTCTAGTATCTGCAAAGAAGCAAATAAGCTCCACAGAGAACAGATTTAATTACACAAACACTCTGAATGGTGCTGAAAACGTCGCATATAGCACGATGGATAAGCCCAGGATCCCGCTCAGACCCACGCATTGTATAGGTTTTGCCACTGCTGGTTTGGCCATAAGCAAAAATTGTTCCTGGAGCAACAAAAATAAGGAAAAGGGAAAAAAAAAACAATGAGAGCCAAACAACTCTGAAAAACGAAAGAGACCATTGAATCCTTGAAGCCCAGATAGAACGAGATCCTTGGCATGGATCTCATACACGCTTGCATTGGTCGCATCCTTGGTAAATATTTGATCTATCGAAACGGAGAACACGATCAATCACAATCAATGCCCTACTTACCAAACATGTAGGATTGACCCAGCACAGGTGCGCCGAGCGCATTGTACAGTGCGATCGTTCTAGCCCCAAGCTTCCATTGGCTGCCTCTCACAAGCTCCTGCCTGATCGGCGGCCTCACCCGGATCGCGACCGAAATCTTCTCGCCCTGCTGCATTGCCGCCCTGGATCAGTCGAAACCCCCAGAGCACGCGAAACCGCGATCGCGAGCTCTTCGTCTAGCTATAATGAAGAACCCTAGGCCCAGAGATATTGTGGCAACGTACACTAGGTTTCCCGCGCGTTTTTTGAATTGCAGAGAACAGAAAAGATTCATTGTGCCGCCTGACGAGCTTCTAATATAAGGTGGATTCCTTCGACCAGCAATGCGACAATCCGAAAAGTTTCACTTCGAGGTAAAAGGTGATTCTCGTAATGGTCAAAGATAAATTCTTCTTCAAAGAAGTGTAGTCAAGAAGACTTTGTCAACAATTTAACACGTAGAACAAAAGTCCACTTGGCACAGTAACTCTGGATGGATTGATCGATTCGATTGATTGATTTCATCGGCATGGAATCGGCCTCCCAGAGAGATCCCCAAGCAGATGACCAAGTTGTTGAAGGAATGGATCAGCAGCAGGAATCCGATGACCGCGGCGAAATGGAGATGATGCCCACCAAGGCGCTGGCCAAGACGATGATCACGCCCTTCACATTCGTGGCCTCCACTTGCTTCCAGACGGGGATTTCACTCATCAAGCCCGACGCGACGCGGGAGGAGAGAGGGCGATGCTTCCACTTGTTCCTGGCCGGGATCATCTCCACAGTCGGCACATTTTGGTCAGTTTTTCTCCTCATCCAGCGCAAGCGGAAGCCCAGCGAGGATCAGCGCCGGATCAACGAGTGCCTCTTCTTCCTCTTCTTCGCCGGGATCACGACCCTGATCTGGCCTCTCATTTACAGCATTCTTACTGTCCTTTTTCACTGCCCACACGGCACCGCCAACGTGATCGTTAGCGTCTGCACCGGAATCACGACGCTATACCTCGCTTCGATCATCCGCTGGATCGCCAAGCTCGAAAAATTCCTCCGGCGGATCAAGCTCCCGTGTAGCCTCTTTGCAATCATTGTCACGATCATCTTCACGGTCAACGGCCTGGGATACATGCTCTACACAGGGAAAAGCTAGACTTGCTTCAAGATAATCTCACCATTAATATAAGCCGGCCTAGCTCAGCTGGTAGAGCGCAAGGCTCTTAACCTTGTGGTCGTGGGTTCGAGCCCCACGGTCGGCGGTGGCACGGCGATGCATTGTTTGTGTTTAAAGTCTTTTAGCCATCTCCATGCAAGATCATCTGCACGCAAGCTCACACCCGAGACAATCGCGAGCTCAAGAACGTGACGATCCAGGCATTTGGAAAGTGGGGTGGCGTGGAGGAAGCCTGCCAAGTGTTTGACGCCATTCGCCACCCAAGGAACGAGGCATACCGAGCGATCTTTGAGGCCTACGTGAACAACAGGCATTTGGAGGATGCCCGGCAGGTCTTCACATCTCTCCCTCGAGCAAAATCGGGACAGGCGCTCCACTGGAGAACTGCTCGGGACTTTCGGCGGTCGCACTCTGCCTGGAAGACTCCACGGGGATCGTCCGCAACATGGCCTCGTCCGCAACATGGCCTCGGACTATGGCATTCACCTGAGTGTGGAGCACTCCTGCTTGATCCTGGCCAGAGCCACACCCAAAGATTTCAATCGGTGGAGAAGGATGAGGCAGTTCCCGGGTAGGGTGAGCATGTTCCCGCCTAGAATGGGCAAGCCAGGCGTTAGCCTGGGGAGCGCATTTTGGTAATGCCCGGCTTGCCTGTTTTGGGCGGGAACGAGCGAGCCCGTGCCCGGGAACGGCTTTAACGGGCTGTGACAAGACTGTTAACGGATACGTGGAAGAATATTATTCGAGGATGAGAGGGTTCTCTAGAATTGGCAGTTGGTAGCCTGGTTCTCCAGAACCTGGCAGCTGGCAGCTAGGTTGGCAGTTGGTAGCCTGGTTCTCCAGAACCTGGCAGCTGGCAGCTAGGTTCTAGAACTTGGCAGTTGTTAGCCACGTTCTCACAGAGAACCTGACTCAATCCAATGGCTGCTAACGGTTGGATCAAGTTAATGGGCAATCCATAGCCCATTAAGAGCATAGTGACACTCAATTGGAGCTGGCGACGCCGAAGATCATACTGTTCGTGGCGACACGTGTAAGATTGTCCGGACAGCAGCCAGGCGGCACCGGCGGAGGAGTGATTCCAGCGGAGCCATTCGTAGTGGTGGCCGCGATCCCCAAGAGCGTTTGACTGTTTGACCGAAGGATATGCTGCACCGATTCTTTGCCCTATCCCACATGCCGGGGCGCATAATGAAGGCACAAGAGCAGTATATAAGATAGGGCCTGGGGAAGAGATCCATACTTACCTGGACGGGGTTTATTGGTGATCATGAAGGCCAATGGCCTAGGTTCGGCTTTCCCATTGCACTACGGCTTGGCCGGCCTACCATCTTCCCAAAGTGGAGGAGTGGACGTCGTAATTTGTGGAAGTTGAGGGCTCGCGTACGCGCGGCCCTCTCCAAATTTTAAGGCCTAAGATGGATCTAATGGATCAATATCGTGTCCAACTTACAGTTGATTAAGCTAGAACCATCAGCTTGCTGCTTCATCCATTGAGCAGCGATCGCTTGTCCTGCCGGCGATGGCGGCTCGCAACTCTCGAATCCTCTGCGCCTCTGGATCCACCGTTGAGCCAATCTCGGGCTGCCTCGTTGGCTGCTGCATCAACATACCCGCCACTGCCGGCGCGTACGCTCCAGAAGGTCCCTGTTTTTTATCCAAATTCTCGCTGCCATTGAAAAGAATTTCTCGTTGTTCTACGGCTTCTCTCGTTTCAGTGAAGCCTTGCTCTTGCTGGAGAGCGGTGCTAGTCTCCACAGCCTGTGTGTGTATGTGAGACAGAGAGAGAGAGTAAGGATTTGTTTCTCCTCGAAAACACGCCTTACCTTGCGGGCTCTGGATGCGAGGATTTGCTCGTAGTTTTCCTCACTATACGCCTTGATCTTCGCCTCAGATTGAAGACTACAAGGCAAAGTGAGTGAGCGGCTGAGAGAATGTCACTGATGTCCTAAAACCTGAAGTTTTCCACATTCTCAGTTCTTCTGCGAAGTGATAACAAGCATTTTTGTGATCATTGAGAATGAATTGAAGAGATTTTTTTGACTGATTTCAATTCATGAAACAACAAAATATATTACAAGTTCGCTTCTTCAAGACGAAAAGGAAAACATCTTGAATCTGTGCAAATCCATGTCACAGCATTGACAATTTGGCTGAAGCCGCAAAGTATGGAACAATTATTGGTTGTTCTTGTTTTCTCTCCTTGATCTTCCCATCTGAGACTTGGGCATTCTTCTTGGGCTTGATCTTGCTGGTCTTGTTGCTGCTACTCCTCCATCCAAAACAGCCCATGCGCTTGTTAGGACTGAGATTGCCCTTCAACTCCGCAGCATGAACTTGAGCCATGGGTTTCCAATCACAAAATGGAGAATCGACAATGAAGAATTTGCAGAATTGCTATGGACTTGGTGCCTGGTGCCTGGAGCCTGGAATTATATTTTCTACACTGTGTCGCTACGAGTTCTTGACACTGAAGCTTCCCATCCTCTGTGTTTTATATCCCGGCTTTCCACGAGACTTTCCTTGCACACCACGGCATGCAAAAGACTCGGCATGCAAATGAAGTGTCCTGATGTGATGTTATGCTTTACCAGACATATCTTTGAAACTTATGCTTTACCAGACATATCTTGAAAGTTTCAAAGGGCAAAATTATCACGTGCAGTTTTAATTGGAATTTTAATGTGATTGAAAAGATTAACGTCCAGTATTCAATCGAGATATCTTAAATTTCCATGCTTTTGGGAGGATCACATCCCTCACACGAAATGGACTACCAAAATTTAGAACAGATTCAGATGTTCAAGATGACAGATTTATTTTCATTACAAAAAATAAAAAATGTAGAAGCCTATTACAGGAGTGGAAGTCTAGAGAAGTGACAATTGCATCTCACTGCTACTTTTCATAGTCTTGCTCACATTGCTTGCTACTTCTTTCAATTTCCATTGTCTCGTTGCAACCTCTTGTTGCTCGTCCGTGTTTCCACCTTGAACTCCTGCTGCCATTCCAAAATCAATGATCGTTTTGTATTTGAATAGAGTCTCGATTACAACAGTGCAAAAAAAAAATTCGCTTCATATTATTGTCTTGTTATCAAAACCCATGAGCAGAGGTTTCTCTAGTAGTAGACGCTTCAAATGCCGCGACAAAGACACCTCGTCGCTCGTGTCTTTCCTCTGCCTCTCGGTAGGTAGCATCCAAAACTTCCGAAGAGCTCATCACGGCACTCGGAAGGCTTCCGCGATGCAAGAGCACGACGAGCTTCTGGATATTGTGAGGGCAATCAACAGGACTCAGATTGTGGGTTGACTACTCCTCCATCCAAAGCACTAACTCCATTGAGCCAGTCACAAATTGGAGAGAAGAAAGGATATAGTCTTCGTGCGTGAAGGCTGAATTAGATTTTCTACGCTCTGTTGCTGCGAATTCCTGATTTCAATCCTTGTCCAAAAAACTTTCCGTGCAAACCAAGAAATGACTCGGCATGCAAACGAAGTGTCCTGGAAATGGATACGATGCTGCTCATTCATCCTAGCTTGACCAACTTATCCTGAGTACCAGATCTTAAAACAGAGAAGATATTTGGAGGGAGAACAAACAATTTGGAAGCTTTTCTCTACTATTACAGGAGTGGAAGTCTTGGCGAGGAAGAGAAGTGAGGCACGACAATTGCATCCTTTTTCTTTTTCTTTGACTCACTGCTGCTTTCCATAGTCTTGCTCCAATCTTGCGAATTCTCCACCTTGCTTGCTACTTTGAATTTCCATTGGCTCATCCATCCAAAACAATCGACCTTTGCAACCTCTTGTTGCTCGTCCATCTTGATGCTGTTTCCACCTGCTGCCATTCCAAAACAAATGAAAGAAATTCTCAGGGCACACATTATATACTTCGTCCTAACTTGCTAGCCAAGAAATATAGAGAGTTGTTAGGACTCCAGACTTTGACTTGAATAGAGTCTAGATCACAAGTAA